CACAGAGCCTACTATAACTAATCATTACCAGTTGAAACTTATTTGATCAAGTTTTAACGGACGGACTTTTAGATAATCAATAATACAATTGTATTGTAATTATTAGATGTGTTACGAAATTCGTCTGTTCAACTTCCATTTTAAAGTTTTCATTATCTAAAATACGACAAAAGTAACAATTTTGCCAAATATCACAAAATTTTAATGAGTAGATTTTGAGAAATCGTCTTCTGTGTACCATTGCTTTTTCGCCGCCATGTTTGTTTGTCTAATTAAAAACACGCGCGCTCATGCGAGTTACCGCTGACCGCCCGCAAAACTGTGTTCAGCCACCTAAAAAATTGGATAGCCCCATCCACCGGATAAATCACTACCCAGCGGATAGCTTAATCGCTATCCCTAATACTTATCTGCTGTATAGTGACTTATCCGGTGGATAGCGCTATCCAACGTTTAAACAACCAGGGCCAGATCAGCAACTAATAACAAATTTTATGTCATGCCTTCTCGTCTTGAATAACTAAAGAATTCATTTTCCCGATTTGGAGTGCGGTTATGGAATGCTTAACTTGAAAATATTAAAAAGTCTGCCCATAGAAACTTATTTAAGAAACAAATAAATGAAACACTTATTAATATTATTAAACAAAAGAATTTGTACCTTTACCACCTGCAATTCTTGAAATAAGTAAAAACTTGTAAAACTGTAGCAATCCTGTTACGTCGACCAGTATAGTGAAATCTCTTTTTTGTCTCTTTCCTCTGTGTAGGCATTTTGTTTTGCTATTTTTATTTGCAATTTTTTATTGCCGCTATTATTATTTTACTGTTTAGCCTAGGCCTAACTTAATCATACCTACCCCCTCAACTAGCTTTTTAACTATTTGTGGGCAGGTACTATTCAAATTGTAACTATCTGTTTCTTAATAAAGTGTGTTGTTGTTGTTGTTATTGTTGAGTGTTTGGGGCTCAACTTATCAGTCAAATCTTAAACGTTTGATTAATCTTCAAAAACGGGTTAACAATGCCAATCCTATTCTTGAAGATTTTAAAATTGAAGATATTATCAAACCCCAAATAGGTAAAGTTATGTATCTTTACAAAACGGCCTTCTTCCTGGTAGTTTCAATGACATGTTTTTGCTTAACTGTGACGTACATTCATATAACACTAGAGTAAGAATGCCCTCCATTTGCCCTACTGCAGGGCAAATGTAAGGGCGCAAAAATATTTAATTCCCTCAGCTCTGAAATTCAGAATGCCTCTAGTATTGCTTTCTTCAATTCTAAACTTAAGTCATTTTCCTTGGTATAAGAACACTTTAGTTCTCTTTTATACTTGTGTGTAGTTTTTTTCTTTCTCGTTTTTGCACTTACACGTTCAGCTTTTTCTATTTTCATCCTATTTAATGATTATTTTCTATGTTGTTAAGACATTGTGCGTGCTTAGAGTTAAATTATCTTGCCGATGTCAGTATTTTATTTATTAATTAATAGTAATATTCCATTTGCACTAAAAGTTCATGTGACATCGTTTTTGTAAAAATGAAAGTTATATGATTTTGCCTTCGAAAAACCATTAGTGGGTCATATCTTAAACAAAATAATAGTGATTTGGTTTTTCAAACCCGCACTATGTTCTTAAAATGAGTAAGTTCGTATCTGGTCACGTGACCAAAATGTGAGTTTTGAAATTATGAATGACCTCTTTTGAACACAAATTTTGCACTTAAACTTCAAGGAAAATGTTGAAAAGATGATGTGGTAACGTTTAAAGTACATCTGAGCGTAACTATCAAACGTTTAACAAGAAATATGCAAAAGTAGTTGTGGCCACCATGTTGGAGGGCAAGAGTATGCCCTCCAACATGGCGGCCAATACAAATCATACTACTTTGTTGAAAAATCAAAGTGCCATAAAATATGTTACTTGAATGCGTTTCCTCTCAAATCTCGGATGTAAGATAATTTTATGTGCTCTGTCAATTTTTGGCATCTGCGAGGTTCCAACTCATTGTTTAAAGGAAGCATTGGTCACGTGACCTCTAAGTGCACGTGGCCTATTAAAGGTAGTTCTAACCTTATTGGCATACTTGGGCTCCATTGCTTCATCCTTTTTTAAAATTTTATATGTATATTTTGTTTGTATGGCATATTGATAATAAAACAATAGAGTACTAAAATGTGACGTCATAAAATGAAATTTCTGAAATTATGGGATTTGTCAGGATATTCTGAAAGAACAATGTCCAAGAGGCCTACTTGCCGTAAATGAGCATTTGTGGGCAAATTGTCTCTGAGATCGTAGCCCAGTTATGCTTACAAAACTCCATACAAACCCTTCTAAATTTTTTTTGGGTCGACCCAAAAAAAATTAGAAGGGTTTGTATGGAGTTTTCTGAGTATAACTGGGCTACGATCGATCTCAGAGACAATTTGCCCCCAAATGCTCATTTTTGGCAAGTAGGCCTCTTGGACATTGTTCTTTCAGAATATCCTGACAAATTCCATAATTTCACAAATTTCATTTTTATGACGTCATCACTTTAGTACTCTATAGTAAAACGATATAAGCCCACCCGTTTACCAGTCCTCCGGTAAAACGTACCCCTTACGAAGATGTATAAGCCCAAGGATTATAAGCGGCTGTGTGGGGTTCGTTGGCTGATTTTTTAAAAAAATGCAGTACCATTTACCGGCCAGTTTGACGAGTCAAGTTGTTCAAAAAAACTTTTTAGCAAACCCTCTACGCACAACCGAAAGCCACTATGTCTGGTTTAGTTTTCACTGGCAAATTAAATGATCAAACTTAATGTGACCCCAATGGCCTGAGGAATGGTCAACCAAACGCAACTGAGCTATTCTACCAACAAAACTCGATACATCCCAGCTTTTCTGTGTCATGGATTCACTACAATCCCCAGTTTCCCGAAAAACCACATTTCCGTCAACAATAAGCTCAACACGAATCTCGTTTACGAAACAACTTCCTCCAATAAGGAACCGAAGAGAATTGCCATTAATACCAAAACAGGGTGACGTCATCGTGCCTTGGGGAACATCGCTTTGGTTTGCACCAACCTGATGGGAGGGACTGGGCCGATTCTCGAAGCCGCCGATCCACCAATTCCCTTTGTGATTGGCAGGTCCTTTGCCCCTCTGTAATGAATTATCGCCGTATGTTGGCTGATTGTTGAATGCATTGCCAGTCAATGTCCAACCTGACAATCCGTTTTCGAAATCAAACAGAGTGCCACAGTGTGCTGAAAATAAGTAAAACGATTACATCTTGAGGTTCGGGTTAGGGCCTGTTTACATGGTGGCGGGGAACCCCGGGTAGGTAGGGTAATCCGCTTAGTTAGGGTTATACCCGCCTGTCCTTATAATCTGTCTCTCATTTTAATGTGATCACGTTTACATGATAGGTTGTCTGCCAGACCGGTTAACCCTCCCAGCCGGGGTCAAATTTTGCCATGTAAATGTTTTAAGGTCGGGTAACCTGCCCAGCCGGGTTTGAAGAGCGAGGAGAGACGGCCGTATTTGTAGACTTTGTATTTGTATTTGTATCCAAAGTCAAGTCTCTCTTTGTACAAGTATGTTTTGAAATGTGTAACCTAGCACTGACGTTAACCAAGTATTTTACTTACAGCCCTGTGCAAACGGACGCAACTTTGTTGACCAACAACTCCCAACACTGTTGGATGTTACATGTTCCGTCCGTTTGCACACCTGCCTACTGCATGTTGTTGTGTGTTGTTGAAAGTTGTTGCGCAAAATTTGAAACTTGTCAAACTTTTGAGTCAACAACTGCCAACATTTCCTCTGTTCCGTGATCGCCGAAGCGTAGCGCAACAATGTTTGATCCGTTGCACAGCTCTCCCAACATTCTTGGGGCTTCGTATGTGCATTACATACGCTCACCAAAGTCTTATGGGTTTTATCCTTCACACGATGCACTGTAGCTCCAACATTGCTGGCAGTTGTTGCATCCGTTTGTACACCACTACCAACACGGACGCAACAGCTCCCAACAATGTTGGGAGTTGTTGCGTTCGTTTGCACGTAGCTTTATTAATACCAAAACTCGAAATTCCCAACAGTTGAGACAACTCAGGCATTCCTTGAATTATGAAAACGTTTGTACAAAATATCCCATCCCCGGCAGCCCTTGGAGCAATCAGCCTGGAAAATACCCGCACTCCAAAGATTAATTAAGGTGTCAGTCAAGGTCAGGGAGAGCGTTAGAATTCATTAAAAATAAATATTCTCCTTACTACCTGTGCAAATCACTCCATCTCCAACAAAGCCGCCACAACAAGTGCAATGGAATGAGCTTACGGTGTTACTGCACAAGGCATTTAATGAACAGTTATGGGTTCCAGCGGTGCACTCGTCTATATCTAAAAAGAAGGCGTAGATATAACTCGGCCCGTTATTAAAACATGCATCAAAGAGGGACCGAAGTCAAGTCAGGTGAAGTGTTGGCCATTAGCCGCTTTAAAACCGAATATCATTTCACCTTAGATTGTATTTATTGTTTCTGGGTTTGATTAAATCTTTAAAGCTCTTTGGTGCATTTTCGTTGTTAATGATATTGAAAACTATACAGACTATTTTTTCGAGGCGTTGATTCACAAGCTGTTCGACTCCCCCAGTCTTACAGCAATGTCACAAAACAGGTTGCACGTTTTAGTTGCCTGTTTTACCGTACCTTTATTCACGGTGGGTTCAGATTTCAAAGTGAGTAAGGGTCCTGGTTATCCAGACCCTAAGATAAAGTCCCCTAGAATTTACTTAGTTAAGACGTT